CAATACTATATCATTCATTATTTACCTTTTCTTTGATAAAATAGTTATTGACTTAAATGACAATGCTGCCAATTGTTCTGCCTAAAGTTATTTTGTCATACATTTCTGGGATAAGTCTGGCAATAGTCTATCTTTTTCCAAAAATATTATTTAACTCGCAAATAAGTAGCCTGTTGTCTGATATAACTTATCCCAATGTGCTGTAGAGATGCAATGTTGTCGAAAGGCTATTATCTCTCCAATTACAATTTGTCTTGTTCTTTCAAAGCACACCACATCTGACATTATCTCAGCCAGCTAATTTGCAAATATCACTGCTACACTTTTCTTTTTTTTCATAATTGCCATTCACATCCCTCCATCTGAGCAGAGAACAGATGTCTCTGCTTTGGAGCTCTGTCGTCTCTTAGTCCACAACACTCCATATCAGCGCCTAATTAGCATCCTGAGAGTCAATCATGACTCATTAGCTGCCATCAGACCTGAACACCAGGACAGGCTTGTATGTAAACTGTGGACAAATAGCGAGCAGATCAGTGTGTGAGGGGGTGGATGTTGTGGTTTTTCGCACTGATGTTGATGCATGACGCCTCAGTGTGTGACTCTGTGTTTCTGTCTCACCAGGCTGATGCCACTCATGAGAGGGTGGTGAAGAGAGAAGATGGTGAGAGGCTGGCAAAGGTGAATTATAGTGAATCCTTTGTTATTTTCCAACTGCATTTGAATGGATGATTTAATTTCTATGGCATATGAGAAGATTAGGAATATTAAAGAAAGCTGGGATTATCCAGAGATCATTTATTTCTGCTCTGAGGAAAAGGAACAACCTGCAAACCAATAGGATAGATACAAGCTCTGGTCAGGGTCACAAACGACCTGTTGATGGCGGCTGACACTGGATCCCCATCGCTCCTCATCCTCCTGGATCTGACTGCAGCATTCGACACTGTCGACCATAACATCCTCCTTCAGCGCCTCAAACACACCATCGGACTTTCTGACTCCGCCCTGAGCTGGTTCCAGTCCTACCTGTCTGGAAGAACAGAGTACGGCCCAATCCCAAACCGCCCCCTACACACTACCCCTCCGTTCGCGCGGAGGGGCCGCCATATTAAGTGGTGTTCCAAACCAACGAGTGTGAAGCGGTGTGGAGAGGGTGTGGGCTATCAAGCCCTCAAACAGCGAGTCTGCATCGGTACTAACTTGAGACCGGTCTCTACCTGACCGGTCTCCACGCTGTGTGTGTCCGTCAGGAAACAAGCTGTTAACAAGCAGTTCCAGCAAACATCCACTGATAACAACCTCATGATAACCTCATATGTTTTAATTTAGGATCATACCTGTGTTTAGTCTAGAAAAAGGTAAACATGTGCATTTTATTATAAAGTTGTGTATATTTACAGACTGTTGCAAAAACTAAGAAGCTTATAAACATCAGGTTTAAAACTAAAAGAGCTTTACAAAAAAGTAACACAATGAAAGATGTTTGGAGTTTTATTTGAGTTATTAATTTACATTTTTTTGTCAGAGATGCTGATTTGAAACCGTTGTTACATACAGTTACGGCATTTCCTGTTTCTGCCGGAGAGAGGGGAGTTTGTCCCAAAGCTTGCCGCTGTATTTATACCCTTAACCCTTAATGGAGGGAACTTCATTCAGCTGTGTTCACTATTCGGAGTTCACTATTCGGAGGGGTAGGGTCGAGGGGGTGATTTGGGATTGGGCCTCCGTCTCCTTGGGAGGTGTGAGGTCCCAGACACACCCTGTCACCTGTGGTGTCCCTCAAGGGTCGGTCCTCGGGCCCACTCTGTTCACCCTGTACACTCTGCCCCTTGGCCGTGTCATCAGCAAGCATGGAATATCATTCCATTGCTACGCTGATGACACGCAGCTATATATAAAGACAGACCCTATCCCACATGCTTCCTCACCGTCACCATCATCATCACCGTTCCCATCAACATCCCTTAACACCTGCATTGAGGAGATAAAAGCTTGGATGTAACAAAACTTCTTGCAGCTTAATAGCTCCAAAACAGAAGCTGTTTTAGTTGGCACACCAAACCAGGTCCAGTCATCCCCCATAACCCACATTACCTTTTCTGGCCAAAACATACCGCTCTCCACAGCAGTTACCAACCTGGGTGTAAGATTTGACAGACATCTGACCTTTGACACCCACATCAAACACTTGTGCAAAACCTCCTTCTACCTCAGGAACATTGCAAAACTCCGTCCCACACTGTCAGATGCTGAACAACTGGTCCATGCCTTCGTCTCCTCAAGACTCGATTACTGCAACGCTCTCCTCATCGGGACTCCTAGCGGGAGCCTTCAGAAGCTCCAATACGTACAGAACAGTGCCGCTAGGATCCTGATGAGGGTGAGAAAATACAACCACATCACACCCGTTCTTCATTCTCTCCACTGGCTTCCTGTCTCATTCAGGATCGAATACAAGATCGCACTACTGACCCATCAATGCATCCACGGGAACACTTCTCCATACCTGAAGGAACTCCTCACATCACAAACCTCCACACACAACCTCCGCTCCACAACCAACCATCAGCTTCGCCCCCGAGGACCAAACTCTGCACAATGGGGGATCGGCTTTCTGTGCAGCTGCTCCTCACCTGTGGAATTCCCTCCCAGACCACCTGAGGACTCCACAGACCACTGACGCCTTTTTTATTATGCCTCCTGTAGCACCTTGGGGTTGCTGTTAGCAATGAAAGGTGCTTTACAAATCATGTATTATTATACATCAACGAAAGACACCTCAGATCTATATTATTATCATTATTCTGCCGTGTGTCATTTTCTATCATAGTTGTAAGACCTTCTGCAGAAGATGTATTCATCATGCCAAATACAAGCACAAAGCACTAAAACCAGAAGCAAATATTTCCTTTCATCCATCTCCATGACTGTTGCTTCACTGCATGCACACAGAACAAATGGCAGACAGCCAAGATATTCCCCCAAGAAGTGGGAGCATCAAGTGCCACAAAGTAACTTCAGACTCAGACTGGAAGGTAAGGAGGAACATCAGTTATCATCGCTGTGGGCTGAGAAAAATTCCCCTTCAGTGGGAAAGCACGGAGACATATTTATCATATCTATGCTGGACTTACCCAAAGTAAACTAGTTCGCTGTTGTGCTGCAAAAGTTCTGTTGTAAACTTTTTTAACAGTCTTCATTTCAAAGAAAAAGAAAATGGAGTATCAGTGAAGCAGGAGCCTTTAAAAGTGTTTAATAATCTTACATATTTTTGGGTCTTCTAAACTCGATTCACCAATAACTGTCAGTGCTTTCACTCTGCAGGAGTTCGGAGTTCCCTTCATGGAGACCAGCGCCAGGTCAGGTCTCAATGTAGAGCTGGCCTTCAACGGTGTGGCGAAGTGAGTATCGTTCTCTGTACGAGTGTTGTGGATCGGTCTGATTAAGACACGTTTCTTCATTTTAAGATGAAGATGATCTAACTGCACAATACTGTCATTAAGGAATATACAAATGTGATTGATGTGAATGTAAAAAATGTTTTAATTCAAAACTTGCTAACTTTTCTACTCCAGACTTGAGTTATTGACTCAACTAGAAAAAAATATATCTGTTAAACCCTTTAAAATGTCAAAAATCCAGAATGTATGAATATTTAAATGGAGGTTTAGTTGAACTGCTTGACTACTTCACTCTAATTCTCATGTATATGCCATGCATTTTATATACTTATCTAAAAAACAATACATGATAGAACTGTTGTAACATCCATAACATTCATCTGCTACTTAGTAATTATTTATCTAATATATCATTCCAATAGCTTGCATATAGACTCTTATTTCACTACTTCACTTTTTTTAAACTATTTTTCTTTTTGTATTTACTTTTTAATATTTACTTGCACTATATTTGTCTGTTTTTCTATATTATTGTGTTGCACTGTTGGAGAAGCCTGTGATTTAAGATTTTCATCGACATAACTACTCTGCAGCTATGTTCGTATGACAAATAAAGAACCTTGAAACGTTGTGCTTCCATAACACTTTCCTACATTCGTTTTTTGAGAAACGTAAGACACAAAATGATACTTTGCAGTGTTTACGTTGGCTGCATTTTGTTTAAACTCACCTTTTAAATCTCTTTTTGTCTCAGGGAGCTGAAGCACCGCTCTATAAAGGATCCCATTGAGAAGTTTAAGCTCCAGGAGTATGTAAACAAGGAGATGAAGACCACCGGATGCTGCAGGTCTTAAAGCCTGCCCTCATCATCCTCTGGATCTGAGAGAGTGTGTGTTTATGTGTGAGGATCACTCGTGTTCGTACTCTAGGTTTTCCTATCTGGCCTGATCTGAGATAAGAGTCGGCTCCAGTAATACATCTTTTTGCCCTTTATTTTTCTCCACTCTCAAATCGCCCTCCATCTGTTGTTCTGCACTCCTCTCACTGCCCTATTCTGTTTTGTCTGTCCTGCTTTTCCTCAATCATCTCCATCCTGCAGCTGTGAAAGTAGCCCCGTAGTGTGGTGTGCAAAAGATAGATACAAACCCTGCACAACTCCATTATTAACATGTTAATGGACATTTCCTGCCGTAACTGTAGCTGCATGACATTTTTAACGCAGAATCAGGCACCACCCTTTAGGTTTAATTGTAAAGGGATTTAAAACTGTTTACAATATACCTTGTTCTGTAATGCTATTTATTTCTCACATCCATTTAAAATGTTACAATGCTATTTCTGGTTGAATGTTCTCTTCTTGAAGAGCGTGTGGATGAATGTTAATATAAAAGATGTATTTTGATGTGTTTGGTCCATGGTCTAGTGTTAATTTCAGTTAATAAACAAGTTCCTTGGAGCCAGTTTAGCTCACCAGCATAACCTCAATCTAAGCATTTCCATGATTCAGCTGTGGATATAGGGAAACATGTCTTACTTTTAATCATGTATATTGCTATTCTGTATACAAAGATATGATGTACAGAAGAGCATCGTGAGCCACATTAAAGTATTTTATTAGATTTGAATTCATGCTAGATTCAAAAATGAAATATACAGTTAGTTTAAACAAGCATTCAGAAACAAGGCAGTGCATGGGTCAAAGAACCTTAAACATGTTTGGTATATTTTCAACATTCGAGGATCAATGTTGAGTCTTGAAAAGCTCTAATACAACCTTTCTTCTAAATTAATATTTATGCTTTAGTTATTAAATTGTTTAAATCTTACAAACACGATGTGAAACATTTTCTTTTCATAACTGTGGAAAATAGCACTTTAGATCGTAGATAAGAGTGTGTGCAATTGTTGGGGGTATATTGGGGAAATTAAGACCTACATTATTGTGTACGACACACAGATGTGTATATTTCTCTTGTTTTATTAGTAGTCAGTGTGCAAACATTAGTAGGCAGCTTTTTTCCATTCATGAATATATAAATGGGTAGTTAGTGCCATGTTTTCTGAAATGTCCGGCGAGTACGTTTTCTTATAATCTGTTAACAGGATTAAACTGTTCTTTGTAAAAGAAGCATAGGCCTCTTTTTGTACAGCTTGCTTTGGTAGATTTCACTTTATGTCTAGAAACTGGTTATCTCTGTACAGTATACTGCACTTTTTCATATTTCTTGAATCTTGATGTTCAGAGTAATGTATTATTGGTTCCACTACTTTTTAATGTGCACCTTCTTTCCTGTAACTGAAAGTTAACTACAATAAAACACAGGGAATGTGGCTTTTATCCTTAACAGTGACCCCATTTCAGTTTTACTCACAACTTCGCAGTGCAGAACATGAGTTGTAAAACGCTGTGTGGTGGAGAATAAAGTGTTGGTGACGCTTAAGCAGGGCACTCGTATTATATAAAGGCGATGCTGCCCCATCGCAATACTGCGCAAAAGCATCTGCACACCTCTCTTTTGTGCATTTAGTCCTGGACTAGTACAAGTCCCTCAAGTTTTGGGTGGGGGTCATAGTAAGTGTAAAGCTTGTCCTTTGTCTCCCTCTACTGGATAAATAATCATATCACTTAAGTCAATACTTGAAAAGGATCACAATATGTACTGGTTTACAAAGGGAATTCAATTCTTAAATGTGATTGGGAAAAAATCAATGCAGTTAATATTTAGCTGCATGAATATATATAAAATAAAGCAAACCTGCAATGCTTGGCACTTATTAACATATAGCAGATGTATATTAAAAGCTGCACATAGCAAATCAGACAATTACAAAAATAAATACATTGAGAATTAAATATTGTACCCCTACATGAAAACAAATGAGTATATACAGACCATGTTTGTATTGTTCCTGATTTACAGAATCTTTGCAGTTTGTCAGATAATCTCTGAGTTTGCATATAACTGGCCAGAAGGGTTCTGTTTGTACATTTGGTTGAAATGCAAGGCTTCTTCAGTTGTATTAAACATCAAAGTATTTTAAGTATTCATACTTGGAACATAGAAAAACTTATTTTGACATCTGAGCAGCAACAATTCTGATTGCTTCAAGCAATCTTTTGCACTTTAAGGTCAAGATGACTGACCTCTTTCACGTATATACTGTAAGTCACATAACAGATGAGGGAGTTAGGAGTGATTGAGCAGGATGGTACAGTGAAGGAGTCACTGTGGGAATGCCAACGGTCTCACCTTCAGGTCTTTTTCTTTGTCACACTTAAGTCTTTATGAAGACTTCAATAATGAGACTAAAAACATATCTCAGGCCCTTCTCTTCCGCCAGATCCACTCCCTGCACCAACATGTCTTCAAACACTACGACAGTCATGGTTTGTGCTTAAAGTAAGCCTCCACTGCAGAGAGAATATAAACAAATATATATCAGACTCCAACAATGAGGGAAAAAGAGCTAAGTAACGATTTAACTTAGTTGGCTGTTTAACCCACCTGCGTACTCCTGAGGCTGCATCGGTCTGTTGATAACCGTCTGAAATGCAGCGATCCAGTCTTTCTGATCTTCTTCAGTCTCACACGCACAGAGAAACTTCCTGTCTGGGGTTACTATGGTGATTCCAAACTGCCAATGGTAGCCCTGGATATTCGGGGGGAGGCCCGGGAGCACGGAGTAGCTGTTTTCCCTACTGCCAATGAACACCTCGCCTCGCGCATAGGCATCCTGGCAGAGGAGTGAGGAACACAGGGTTTAATAATCTTGAATTAAGCAAAAAAAACTGATTTGTAGTTTTCACTATGGGGCGCTAAAGCCAAAAGCTAGATTTATCTTAGATAGATCTAATAGGAAAATGAATATCTAATACGATTTTGAAAACATTTTCCCTTTAAACAGACTAATACACAGTTGGAAAAAGGAACACAGCACTATCTGCTGGTCACATACACATAAAGGGGTTTATTAATGCAAACAGTTTTGATACCAGTGGGTCTTTGAAGTACATGAGCCTCCTGTCGTCCATCGTGAACCATCTCTTCTTGAAGCCCTCTGTGTGCTGTGGGACAAACATGGCATTAGCTCAATTCAATCAGCAAATGTATAACTTTGCTTTTATACTTTGCAAGACACTGTTATAGGTTTAGCATATTTCTCTAACCTATACATCATTTGTAAAAAGAGTATTCCATTAACAGAAAACTGCATTACCTTTGGACCGGTCTTCTCCATGTAACCTTCCTTTATGTAGTTCCTTGTTAGCTTTTGCAACAACTAGACAAACAAAAAAGTGAATAAGTAATCAATGAGTGTGAGTGTATGTATGCAGGGCCTAAGCCAGATTCCCAGAAATAGTGTGACAAAACGTTTTTATTTAACTATTATTTATAATTGAACTACTAAGTATTTATGTTGTTTTTATTTCTCCCAGTCCGTCAATCAAATTAGCATTACTTGTCATTTTTAAATCGGAGAAAGTAATGCAAAAAAGGTATTCTCAGCCTGAATTGTATGTATGTGTAGATGTACTGTACTCACCTCAGATTTGGAAGCTCCTGGAAAAGCCACCTCCAGGTAGTGATACCTGGCAGCTCTAATGGCGTTGAACCAGTCCACCATTTCCTTCAAGAAAGGACATCAGGACTTTTAGTGACAGACTCTTACTGAAGAATATTCTCCTCAGTCACAAAGTCTGCACTGATAATCCATAAATACCCCAGCAATACATTAGGCACACATTACAAGACAAAATAGCTTTTTCCAAATGGCATTTTTAAAGCCAAGGGAGATGTGCTCCATTTGAAAGAGACCAGCATATTGTCGCAATTGTATTTATTGTGCTTTATGAGTTTTTGGAAGCCTTTAGCAATTAAGGATGAATAGTTATTATTTAAATAAACTTCTAATACACAGCCTTGTAATGACAAACCATTTCCACTAGAGGGACTCTTATACCTTTTCCTACAAACACTCCTGCTCTTTTCTTCACCCACCAAAAAAACCCAAACAGCATCACTGCCCCTCACCTTTCCATCCTCCTGGTAGATGAAGATATTCCTAGTGCTGTTGTCCTTCAAATATGTTATCTGCAGGCCGTTGTTAACGCCGATTTTTGTTGGCTGGAAAGTGGCATTCACAGTGTTGATCTTCAATATCGCTTTGGGCTCTCTGGCCTACAGAGAGGAAAAACATTGTTAGAATTATATGAATAGAATAGAAAAGAATGGAGATCACTGCATATCTTCAGAGAGTGACTTATTTTGAACAACGGCAGATTTAAACATTCCTCGTCAAATCAAATACAGATTTAGTAAAAAAAATAGACAGTGTTATAAAACACTCACATCATGCTTGTTGAAATACTTCAAAACACCTTCCCGTTCTGACAGAATAAATTTCCGGCTGAGGAACTGTCCGTTGTCTCTGCCTCGTTTCCATAGAAACCCCTCTCTGTAGCCTGCCACAAGGGTCCCGTCACAGTGACAGAGAGGATGAATACAGAGACAGCACAGAGGGAAAACACATTTTAGACAAAACATTCCACAAATCTAAGATAAGAATTCACACGAGAGAAAATCCAAAATGGATTAATATAAAGGGAAAATGAAGCTACTGTATGACAGACTCTGCTGAAAATTAAGCCAAATGAATGCTTACATGTTGGTCGTTATAAACAAATGTGCCTTGAAACTGTATGTAATGTTTCATTGCGCAGCAGTTTCCATTTGAGAGTGTAAGAGATCTTTAAGCAGGTCATTCTATACATGAAACTGATCCGGAAACAATAGAGACCGCTGAAAGCTTCTACGTTACAAAGACCTGTCATATTGTTTGTGCACTTTAGCTTTTGTGGTCAACATTCTCAGCAGTTCGGCAGTGGTGAGAGGAAACTCCTCTGTGTCATAAATAATTCAGCTTTAACTAGTAGAACATTACTGAAAGAAACTTGACACAAATGCCGTCCCCCACACACGCACACACATACACACAAACACACACGCACACACACACAAACACACACACATATCTTGTTGGCTCTGTTCTTGACAGTGGCCTCTCTGTGCCCAATATCCAGCAGCCAACAGAAATAAATGCATCGTCATTGCTCTATGTTCAACGGCCAATATAGACCCACAAACTTACTTGCACAAATCAACTACATGGCAATACTCAACAAAATTATTTTTACTCTAAATATCTGAGAAATGGATTTGAATTACTATAATAAAGTGACTCTTTATTTAGGGTTTCCAGATTAAATAAACAAGACGTGTTTGCACAGCTAAGGAACCTAGAGACTAGACATTGCTCATTAGCTGGTATTATCTAAAAAAGAATATTGCAAACTACTTAAATATTTGTATTGTTATTTCTATTATTTTATTTGTAGCAAGATACTTTTACCACTTTTTAGCATATTCTATTATCATTTTCATTTGATTTAATTTGAGAGCCCATAAGTTTCAGTTCCAGCTTGACTGAGGGTGGCGTCTATAATCAGAAATATAAAAATAACCCCCTGTGATACAGTAGAAACAACCTATAAAAGTATTTCCCCGGAGCTGTACAAGAGAAGTATTTGTGCTACAAAAGTGCAATGCAATGACACGCAAAGAACAGAGATGTCTTTAGAGAGACTTGCCAGTACGGTGCCACTCTCCTTTGTGAAATACAACTGATAACTTCCGATCCCTTTGGCCCTTCATTGCTTCTTGTACAGTAATAAAGTAGTCATGATGTGGGAAGCACACAGCAGTAAACTTCTGGTTGATAAATGGCTTCATCAATTATTTATTAATCTAGAAGTGTTGCTCCTCCGCAGAGAGGAGGAGGGTCAGAATGTGGAGAGGAGAACAAGAGAATTAATTCACTGTTACAACAGGGAGTTAAATATGTGTAGACACTTGGGAGAGTATGGCACGTTTTGGACCAGAGTGTATGTCTTTCTCCAGGTTTATACATATCGGGGCTCTTCTTCCCTGGCATAAAATCTAGAAGTAATGATATATAGAACATTTGTACACAAAAGAGGCCATTCTCCCTTCGTGGCAGAGACACAGAGCCACATGCTCCTCAGCCTCTGCACAGCACAACATAGGAGGCCATTGACAAAGAGGCAGAGACACAGTGGGAGAGTTAGACAGTCATGAGACTCAGATATGATCTTTTATACCTTAAAGTCAGGTTTTGACTTTCCTCGTTTTCCCCGTTCAGCTCACAGTGAACTGAAATGACCTAATGATGTTTGGCCTGAGGAGGTTGCCCAATTGTAACTGTGTTACAACATTTGTGTGACACTAACACTGTGGCTCTAAAAAAGACAAAATCCTTTCGGGGCGGGTGTGGAGAAACATGTTGTTAAGCAGTAGGTGACGTGAGATAGAACCATAGAGTGCATGTACATCAGAGGCGGCTCTGGTGTACATGCACTCTATGGTTATATCTCACATCACCTACTGCTTAACAACCTGGTCACATGCCTGTACAACCACTCTTAAACCCCTGGAATCATTATACAAACAAACACTTAAAATAGTAGATAAGAAATCAGTTCATTCTCATCATTGCCCAATAGTCACAAAATACAACTTGTTGAGCTGGGGAAATGTAATTAGATATGCAAATGCTTGCCTCATGTACAACATAATACACGGCCTTACCTCACCTCCACTCAGACATTTTATCACCATACGCACATCTGTAACTAGGTCAACAAGAGCTGCAACAAGAGGAGACTGTGTTGTTCCACTAAGGAAGAGTTAATTCAGCCAATCTTCATTTTCTTTTAAAGCTGCACAACAGTGGAACCCAATCCCAGTAACGATTAGAGAACAAAACACCTGCAGTTTATTCAAATCTCATTTAAAAACATGGTGGAAAATCAGCTCTGTCAACACTGACACGATGTGCACTTTACAACGCTCTGTTTGTACACATGTGCCTTGACCTGTTGCTATCTGTCTGCTTTGTGAATATGTATTTTTGTTTTGTTTTTATATATGCTTTTATTATAATATAAGCATCTATGTTGAATGTTGTTTTACTGATTGTATTTGACTTTCAACATCTGTCCAGGGACTGCAGATGAAAAATAGCCTGTTGGCTAACTCTGGCGCATTTACAGAAATGTTAATCAATGTGCACTGTCCCTGTCAAAAAAAATAAAAATAAAAATGTCCTCCACATGTTCAACCGAAGAATGGCCACAACCCATGTCTTCAATAAGGTTAACTGACTCTATGTTGCACAACTTCCTGTTTCCGGCACACAAAAGGAACAAAGGGAAGCACCCAATAAAACCTGATAGAAGGCGTATTTGATGACTATCTTTATCAGGAAAAACATAACACATTACAGACATGTCTCACTATAATGACAGCACCCAGTTACTACACTTTTGAACCCTAGTGAGTTTACTTCTGACTAAATATATCGGAAGTTGCATTCAAGAACTGTGTGTTCTTTTTCATTCAGTGCTAGAATTTAAATCCCCCTAATATAAACATGTAATTAATGTTTTATTTTGCAAGCAGATGTAGGTGTTTATAAATGTATTGATCTTTGTCGTTTCCATACATCTGCTACAACATAGAAATCATCTACCAATCACAAATTGCCTTACCTTTTGAGTTAAGTTTAGTTGAAACAGATAACCATCCCCTTACAACTGCATTATAATGTGTCATTACCAATTGTTCAAAATGGTTGGTGTTCGACATCTGTTTTAAACTTGCCGTCAAACACTGGAAAAACAACTGATGAGTATTTGTTTCTTTTAGCTGAGTAATATTTCCACTACTTTAACTCACTTAACATGGATGTAGTCAAAGGTCTTGAACATGGACACAGCTACAAGATTCCAGAAACTCAGGAGATAGAGACGGCATAATCTTTGCCAGTCACTTTGCGGGGGGCATCCATTATTGATTAGCTGAGTCTGAAACGCAGACAGGTTGGGGCCACTGTCTCTCTTTAATGAGGCTGCAATGTGCGATAAACCAAAAAACATTTGTCATTTGTGACACAGCAGTCGCACAGACACATGATTCAGCACAAAATATTAAGATACGGGTTCAATAATACACATTTAGTGAGGATATCAATGAAAAAATCATTTCACACAGTTAACCGTGAGAAAAGGGTGACACATATTCAAGTAGGCATTCATAGAGGTCGGTGTGGATAAGAAAAGATCGCATGTAAAGCAGAATAAAAAGGAGTATGTGAGGAGCTGATGTTGGACAGCAGTGTTCTTCCCTTATTGACTAACTCTAATTGTGTAATTGTCAGTTGATAAGAAATGTATGATGCAGTTTTCCCTGCTGAGGATTCATTCCATGCTGAATAAGTGGTTGTGTGTGAGACACAAACAATTACTTGTTTTCCTGAGTAAGCATAAGTATAATGTGCAGGGCCGGCCCTTGGCATAGGCAGTATAGGTGAATGCTAAGGGCGCATCCATCCATGGGGGGGTGCCGAAAATTGGGAGGAAGAAAACAAAAAAGTAATGATATTTAATAATAAAACAATTTCCCAATTTGGGATCAATAAAGTACATCTTATCATCTTATCTTAACAGAACTACGCCTACCTTGCGTACAGCGCCCATAAACTATGGCGCCCCCCCGTAGTCAGGTAAGTTGAAGTGCCCCGGGGGGATTTTCTGAACTGACACTTGACCTGCCGTGACTCGAGGGGGAAAAAATATGCTAACTACCTGACGATAATACGATAATTAGCCATCACCATGTCGAAACTAATAAAGATATCCGGTGCCCAGGGAAGAAAGAAAAGAAAAGAGGAGGAGGAGGAATAACGGGAGAAGACAAAGGTACAGTAACGTTAATGTGATAATAATAATAATAATAATAATAATAATAATAACTTTATTTGTATAGCACCTTTCATACAGGGGATTGAAGTTCGTAGTTTACAAAGGCTGCATCACCGATCTTCTCATGACTCTTTCTGGTGACCTCTAAAAGACCTGCATCTGATGATCGCAATGTTCTGGTGGGTTTATTAGAGTCAGCAATGTAGCTGGGTCCTTGTCCATTTAGAGCTTTGTATGTGAGGAGAAGCACCTTAAAATCAATTCTAAAAATTACAGGAAGCCAGTGTAGACTAGCTAAGACAGGACTAATGTGTTCCCTCCTTTTGGTATTATTTAGTAGACTAGCTGCAGAGTTTTGAATGAGCTGGAGTCTTTCAATACTTTTCTAGGGGAGACCAGTGAATAGTGCATTTCAGTAGTCTAGTCGGCTAGATATAAAAGCATGAATTAGCTTCTCTACATCATTTTGATTTATGAATGGTCGTACCTTCGCTATGTTTCTGAGAAGAAAGAAAGCTTTGTTTAAATGGTATACTCTCTGATGATGTCGCCGAGCGGTAACATATAGAGAGAAAAGAGTAATGGACCTAAACAGCTCCCCTGTAGCAGCTTTCATGTGATGATTAATCAAAAGTCAATTGAATTGTAGTTACCATTGATGGAACAGTGTTAACTTGCTAGCTTACTTTTAGACGATAACAAGGTTGTCTGTTTGCTAATCCATAGTTCTATTTAGAGTTAACGTCAATTACTCCCATCTTAACCCATAAGGACCCACCGTGTCATGGGTGTCACATGAACTTGAAATGTTCTGGAAAGTTCCTTATACAGCTTTAGCCTTGTTTTTATCTCATGAAATCCCCAAGTGACACACACTGAACAGTCTGGTGGGTCCTGGTGCAGGACATTTGATTTTGTGTTCCCATAACAACATGTCCAAGATGTCCATGTGCCAGGCTAACACATGTGACAGAACTAGCTACATTTCAAAAGCTTTTTTTTTGTTGCTAAAGGTAAAATTCAAGCCATTTAAGAAATAAAATGCTTACATAACATGTCCTTTATTACATTTAACCTGTTGTGGAAACATTTATTGATCAAATTGATATGAAACAAATTAGATAAATATCTCATTTGGGACTTTAACCCTAAACATTCACAGTAAACCCAAAGTGACATATATGCACAATTAGAAATATTATTATTATCTGCACAGTTAATTTAGCTTATTCAATTATATTGAGTTAATATGTTCTTATTCTTCAATTCAAAGAATGTTCAAACTAATTTAAACCAAAAAATCCTCCTCATTAATTGGACCTATCATGCTATATTTGAATAATATATTGTAGGGCCATACCTATATAAGGTATATTTATACGTTTTCTTTTTCAAAATACCAAGCAGATCATGCCATGCCTCATTTCGCTCTATTATGCTTCCCCCCATGTGCTGCAGCTGACCACGCCCCCCTGCAAAGGAGGGGGCCGAGTTACGAGCAGCGTCATGTTACCATGCTGTTACCATGCCACGGCAACCTCTCATTCCCCTGATTGGTGGAGAGTTGGCCATATAGGCGGAGCTCCTCGTCACTGACATCAGACTCTTTTCAAATCTGTATCAGTCTGTATCAGATCCGTTAAAGCCCCGTTTTTAGAGATTTTGGGTATGGAGGAAAAGAGAGAGGGTTGTGTTTTCTGACACTTGGTGAGTTCCCTGACACACCGGGGACACATATTCATGTATAAAAGACGTACAAAGGTGCATTTTGCATGACAGGTCCCCTTTAAGTTAACAATAAGAGTTATTTTACCATTAAAGCCCAATGTGACATATATGTCACATTTCAGATATTTGACACTAGGGGGGGTTTCTTGTCAGAAATGTGTTCTCGGTGGTCTATTTAGTCTAAATTATGTTCCCCTTAATTTCCCCAAAAGTAGAAATGGGTCCGGGTTCTTATGGGTTAAATTCCATACCTTAGCCTTTATCATTAATATGCTATATTACACTGCACTTAACTGCTTCTTTGCCATCTGGTTGGATGCTAAAGCTGAATCTACAGGTGCATCTAAAAAAATACTATATCATAGAACTTATTTTCTGTAATTTAATTTAAAAAAATGAAACATTCATATATTCTAGATTCATTATGCATAAAGTGAAATATTTCTTTCTCTTTTGTTTTAATTGTGGGGGGCGCCAGCTAAAATCTTGCCTAGGGCAGCCAATTGGTCATGGCCGGCCTGTGCTCATAACAGCAGAGATGTATTCCTACCTGCTGAGTAAGGCTCCTGCCTCTTCACACACTGGAACTCCTTCCTCTCGTACTTGGCTCGGATCCACTGTTCCCGCAGGAGCCTGCACAACAGTTGGAGTTAGACACTCAGCTACGTTTGATGTTTACTCCATGCTAAAATGAATCTGTTGGAAACGTCTCATTAACTTCCATGGAAGGCTTTGAGCAATTTCATGCATGCTTTGATCAGAATCAGTGTCAATACATGGCTCATCACCTTGTAATCATCACTTGGGCCTCATGCCATCTATCATGATAAATTAATCTTAACTGTTCATGTTCCCTTAATAATAATCCTTCACATTTATAAAGCATGCAACACCTTGGATGGGAATGCAGCTTCATTATTCTTCTGAACAAGACACCACATAATGTCACCATACTTAATCATCATGCATCATGATATTTAATGTAATAGATGGTTTCCCAAAATGCTCAAAGCTCTTTGCAGAAAATGTATCTACATTTTACTCTCGTCTTTGTCCAATCACCCGTTTCCTTACATTAAACAATAATCTTTCATAAACACATTGCAGGTCTCTTCTAGTTTTAAGTTGTTGCATATTAATATTTTCAGGACAGTTAAAAAAAAACCTTGACCGAATTGTACTTCCTGATAAAAACTATTCTTATCACCGAGTAGTTTTTGCATGTTAGCCTGGCAACGATAACCACTTTTTGCCCTACTTTTAGTGAATGCATCTTTCTGCAGAACAATAGCTGCAGGCTTTTAGATGTTATCAGAAACATTTGACTGTGTCTTCGCAACAAAAACCACAATATATAATCAGCCAAGGTTTGCAATGCTGTTAATCGCTGTTAACACACACTCCTATAGCTGCTCAAATTCTGGACAAAGGATAAGACCTGGTTTGCTTTCCGATAATCCAAAAATCAGCTCCTAAATTCTAACCCTATCTCCTATTCCTTGACCTCTGAGTGAAACGTCACGGGGTTAAGGGATAGTGGATAGGAGAATTCAAAAGGATTTAGGAGAAGAGACTGCGGTACTTAGAGAATCCGACTGCACTTTCACTATCCGACGTGTTTATGATGCGCCAGCGGACGTCATGAATGTGCGTCTGCTGCTGTGGGGAAACTATGGAAACTATAGTTTTCTATACAGCGGACTACAACATGGATGTTCAATAAGAACGAGGGACTACTGTAAACTCATCTAGAGACTCTGCACCGTGCTCTGATGCTGTTGCTTTATGCTTTATGAACGTGGACAACAGAGAAACATATTCTTCATGACCAAAGTTGGAATTGAAATAAAAAAGGAAAGTGAAACGTATGCTCGTCACCCTCTCCCTCCGGTCCACATTAATACAAATGATCCCAATACGTATGATTGTATGAACTATTAAAAGATCTTAAAATAAATACAAATGTATTTCAATAGTCCATTTAGCTTAGGAACCTTCCTAACCAAGTGAAATGACCCGGAAGTCCCTCAGTGGCAGCCATGATAAGTGCCGTTCCAATTCTGCCATCACAACAGTCACGGAAACAACCGATTATGACCGAGAAATGATATCATGAAAGTTACGGTTCTTATTAAGCATTTTAAAACGTATGTGGTAAGTTGCCAAAGTGCTTTTTTCTGAACGTTCATCAGTATTATAATCAAAAAGAGAAATATGAACGTTAGTTTTTACTGAAATGATCAAATAAAGTCAACATCTCACAGTCTTTACTGAGCTGTGTGGGGTTTGTTCAACTTTTAAAAGATGTTTGAATGGTGATATACACAGTGATAGATGTTAAGGACTAACGTTTATAATAAATACATTTGTATTGATTTTAAGATATTTTCATACAATCATACGTATTGGGATCATTTGTATTAATGTGGACCGGAGGGAGAGGGTGATGAGCATAAGTTTCACTTTCCTTTTTTATTACAATTCCAACTTTGGTCATGAAGAATATGTTTCTCTGTTGTCCACGTTCATAAAGCATAAAGCAACAGCATCAGAGCACGGTGCAGAGTCTCTAGATGAGTTTACAGTAGTCCCTCGTTCTTATTAAACATCCATGTTGTAGTCCGCTATAGAAAACTGTAGTTTCCATAGTTTCCCCACAGCAGCAGACGCACATTAATGACGTCCGCTGGCGCATCATAAACACGTCGGATAGTGAAAGTGCATTCGGATTCTCGAAAGTACCGCAGTCTCTTCTCCTAAGTCCTTTTGAATTCTCCTATCCACTATCCCTTAACCCCGTGACGTTTCACTCAGAGGTCAAGGAATAGGAGATAGGGTTAGAATTTAGGAGCTGATTTTTGGATTATCGGAACGCAACCCAGCCCAGAATCAGACGTTAAGAAAAGGGTGGAGGAAGACACATCACTCACGTGCAGTCTTTGTGTGTAGGGGTGTAGTAGAAGGCAGGGACTATCTTTTCATACTTGGCCTTGGCTGCATTGTTACCCACAGACTCCATAAACTGCAGAGGCAAGGAAGAGAAACATCTGATGTTTGTAAGAGATATCTGTGTGTAATCGTGTATTGTCTGTGTCTCAATGGCCATGAGAGTGTGTATGTGTATTTAGCTGATGTGGAGCGGTCGCACACACAAAACACACACACACAAAAACACACACATAATGAGGTGATTGCAGCTCAGTGTTTGTGTGGCTGCTTCATGCCCAGAGGGAGACGGAGCTGCTGCCATGGCTGCTTCTTCTTTTGTGTCTCTGTATTCATCACAGAGAACACTGCTCAGCATGCATAAGCATGCAGCTAGGAGACTAACGATCACACAAACACACAGATCAGGGGAGAAAGACGAAGAAAGGAGCACACAGAGAGAAAGAGCCAATGATGAAACACACCACAAACATGTTGATGCACACCGCACTGGAAAGCAGCATACCACAATTCATCTGGATAGGATGTATGTAAGTTTAAAAACTAAAAACATTCTTTTCACCTTTTTCTTGATTAATTTAAAGTACTTATGTGTTCTTAAAGTCTGAGAGTCCTAGGATTCAGAACACACACACACACACACACACACACACACACACACACACACACACACACACAAAGATATTGGTTGTTGCTGCCAGCTGCTGGCTCATGCCTTTCAGCCGGGCTGAATTGAGTCTGATGACTTGTCTTATTCTTCTAAGCAGGGATGCAGGGGCTCTCTGCGAGGCAGGGATGCAGGGGCTCTCTGCGAGGCAGGCATAGAGGCCAATGGCTACAGATGTTCGCTCAAGCCGAGCTAACCAAGGCAGGTATTCTCTTGTAGAACACAGAGCTTCACCTTCACAGCACACACAGGTCCTTACCTCCGCCTCAGAGGAGCTCCAGGGATCCAGAAGAACAGATTTCACCTTGCTGATCTGAGCAATGTTTTTATGAAGGCCGGAGCAGCTGAGACACATAAACACTCCCAGGGTGTAGGACGCCCACTCCGGATCTGAAAAACATCATAAAGACATAAGTAGATTCACAAAAAAAAAAACAGCAATAGCTCAATAACAATGTCTTGCACACGGCTGCAAAGCCCTCCACTTTAAAATATAATTAACTGTAGTTTGCCATATATTGTCATATTTGTATTGTCCTAAATGATTCGTTTTTTAGCTTTTATGGTTCTTTGTATAGTTACATTTAAATTTGGTGTAAATACTTTTCTTTAGTATTCTTTCTTTTAATGCTAAACAGTGTCTTAAAAATACTTATTTTTCATTATCCTTATATATTGTTTTTTTTGGTTACTATTAAAACTTATTTTTCTTAGATTGTTTATGTTCTTACCGCCAGATACCAAAGCAAATTCCTTGTAGGCCTATGTGTAAACGTGCTGAGTCATGAACTGACAGACACTGATGGCTTCACTATATCTCAAGCATATCGACCAAAGTAAAGAAAACACAACCAAAACCGTGGTGGAGTTCAGTTTGATGATCAGAACTTGTATTTAGGTTTGTGTGAGAGCAGGCAGTTTTTTCCTTTCCATTTTTCAGGGTGGGGGCAGTAGTGAGAGAGGTACTGTTTCATGTTTCTTCTGCACCCCATTTACTACATCTGCTTGCAGGGGTGCCCAACCAGTCGATCGCGATCGACCGGTCGATCGCGAGGAGATTCCCAGTCGATCGCGAGATGTGCCTAAAAATAGAACAACAACATTCTGTTTTATCGTTAATGTCCTGTAACATACATTTCCTGTGCCAGAATAATGCACTTGAACGCATCAAAGCTTTGTGATTGGCCGGCGTGACCCCATGTGTCGGGGCGTGGCTGGTGGGCAGTGCACTAGTTAGCTGACGTTGTCCGTGTCAACTCAACAGGAGTGACAGTCCGCACACACACAAGACCGCAATTACGGCAGAAGCAAAAAAGCCCAAAATATATCATTTTCACTCCGAGTGGTGTGGTGTTATTGTATATGTGTGTGTGTTAGCCAATAGGAGTGAAGCCTTACGGGCACGGTTCATTGACGTCATAGGCAGACGACATGTTATGGTAACGGAGCATGTGAGCTAGGAGTGTTCTAGCATGTGGGCTACCAATAAAGAGACACGTAATTGTGACAGTTGAACTCACGTGTATTATTGAATAACACGACAAGTGGGAGGATGATTATTATTGTATCTATTCCAATTCAAAGTCCATCTGTCTCATCTGCAATGCGAGCGTGGCTTTATCGAAGAAGGGTAATTTAGGAGCGGCATTTCAAAACAGTGCACAAACGCTACGAGACGGAATTCCCTCCTAATTCTACCCTACGCTCCCAAAAGGGGAGGGGCCTGAAAGGACAGCTAAATGCACAGCAGTCCATTTTCACCAGGCCCAACAACAAGAGCAAGGCTGCTACCAGAGCATCTTATCGTGTCAGTCACGTTCTTGCGAAACACATGAAGTCTTTCAAAGACGGCGAAGTTGTGAAAGAAGCATTCCTGGAGGCTGCTGACGCGCTTTTGGGGGACAGTAAAAATAACAGTAGCATTTCAACAGGTTTTTGATATAATAAAAACTCAAGTTAGATACCGTTATTAATCAGCTGTAAGTTTTAGTTTGTTTGAACTTATTCATTATAATTATTGTACGAAATGGTATAAGAATGCAAACATTCAGATCTGTTCTGTTTAAATTGATTATAGGCTATTATCAATTCAGTTAAGAAACTAGTGTTGCTTGCATCCTATTTTAAAGGCATTTCTTTTTATACTCTACTAAAATGCAACAAAAAAAGGGTTTGATTCTATTAATTGTGTCTTTTTTATTGCACTTTGTCAGCAGATTCCTGTGTAGCTTCAGTTCTGAGTTGTCTTATTAGTAAGCCTAATTTATACTTTTGTAGCAACACTTTTTTATATAATGGCAAAGAAAGGGTTCAGAGTCTTTTCTTTTTGTCCTGTGTCATATGTGGCAGCACTGTTCAATGTTTCTTGTAAACATCACCCACTGTATGTGACGTGTGAATAAACTCCAACTCTGTATCAACAACACTGTTGTGTAACTTCAGTTAAATACTTGTATGTGTGTAGATTAGAAAGAGGTAAGATAAAGGATGTGCAGTATTTTATGAAGTATTAATCGTACAAAGGTCAGCTTTATACAAGTAGAAGTGTGTATTTACCTGGTATTAGGCTGTCAGTAATGGCTACGCCTCTCTATTTGGACTGGTAGATCTCGGCAGACTGGCAACTTTAAAAGTAGCTCTCGGTTCAAAAAAGGTTGGGCGAGAGTTGATGAACTATCTTCAAAAACCTTGTGAGTAAGACACATTTACATATCTATACTATGAATACATAGAGTAGATCAAACCTTTATATGCATGTGTGTATCAACGTTGTTAAACTACATTGTTGCCGTTGAGGAAAAACAGATTTTTCAATACATAACACTAACATTTCCTACAAAGCACAATTATTGAAACTGACACTCAAGTAGCAAAACTTGGGCCCAGGTCTTCAAAACTATGAGCACATTGTTAGCCTCACTATTTAAAATATTATACACAAACATACACACACACACTTCTCTATTTAACACAGACATATTGTTATTTATGTGTCTTGAAATAACTTGTGTTGTGATTTAGCACTTTGTAAATTAAAATGGCATGACTTTTGAAATATTATTTTGGTGCTTTCGGATTTATGCACTTTAAAAATGCAAAAGATGAGGGTGCCTGTCTTTTTTTTTTATTATCTTTATGAAATATAAGAATTTAAGAATGTATTCTAATATTCTGGTCCAAAGAGAATCTGATGTTATGATCCTTGCTCTTACCATAAAGTTCCAAATATGTTTTCTTCAAATGATTGTATAGATTTGAACCAAGTGTTTCTTTTGCAAAATATATCTGGGGGTGTTTTGCTACTTGTCTAGGTTTTTCTGTCAATTGCATAATAGTGTTTTGTCAAAAGGAGTCCCTTTTTTCAAATACTGCTCAAGCAATCGTAAAAAAACAATGACATGACATGCATGCATTTACAATACAGCTACTTTATTTTGATTATTAAAAATTCACAGGCAAAAATTCTGTAAATCAAATAAAGTGACTAGTATGTGCAACATGCCATTTGCACTTACAAAATGTTCACAAGTTACATTCACACGTTTTTGCTTACTGTGTATGAGTCACTGCCACCTTCAACACCTATACCTAAAAACACCTGTGATGAAGACTTCTGAAATGAAATACACTGTTTCATATAAACGGTTTATTTAATTAATTTCAGAAGTCTTTTGTTTCAGCACTCATGATATGTTTGCCATATTCTCAAGATGTTTCATTGAAAGCAAATGTGTGTGTGTGCACAGCATCTGTATATTTTCCGAATCATTAGTCACATGATGCAAGGTGAGATTACAGTTTCCGTAATGGTTATGTTGAAACTCAGCCAGAGTTTGTATCAGTGTGCCGCAGCTCTTTAACCTCTCTAAAGAACACACATTTCAAAAATAGCACAAGAGCAAAAAAACTGTTACTTCCTTGTGCATAATCACAAAGCTGCACACATGTAAACTGTGCCTCTGCACACAAGAGACAAGAGGCTGATGTGTAGCTAGCCCCTCCCATCTTCTCTGCATTATGTGGGCCTGCTGTGGTTGAGCCCGGTTAACAGAGAAGTCACTCTCCAATAAACCAGGATGCACAAACTAGCCAAGGAATGGAAGAGATATGTCAAGTCCACAAAGTGCATGAAGAACCTGGAAATCACTCGATAAACCAATCATAAGAGGAAAATATTCTGCTACTATTTTGAGAAATATATATGTAATGGTAGTGTTTTTCAAGAAAAATAAAATGAAGAATTTACAAAAATGAGCTTGCTGCATTCACAAAATTACGTTTTCTATACGAATAGTTGGAAAAGTAATAGTCGTTTAATGGATAATATAAATACTTTATTCAATTGAGTTAATCTGACACCTTTTTAACCCGAAGCAACACCAAGTGAAGATTAACAATTAAACAAACTAGACTTTTGTGACTCTCTCAGGCTATAGATGTTTCAGAAACCACGCCCGTTTGCCTCTGTTTTTCTTGTATGCCCATGTACTTAACTGCAGATGTGATAAGTGAAACCAAGGTGTGACAATCAGGGTGTGAAACTACAAGTGCACATGCAATAGAAAATCCATACCATTTGAACACACATACTATAGATCTACAAGTCTTTTATATTAACATCCATATACTAAATACAATATTTAATCGCTATCTCCATAAGAACCTTTCCAAATTCGTTGCTCACATATGAGGACATTCGTTATGTCAACTGTCATGTATTTCATAACCATGCCTTTCCTAGGCTACAGGTCAGAGAAGAGAAACTTAAGGACCTTGTGAGAAAGTACAAGATACACCGTAAGAAATGCTGGTTTAAAGTTAACTATTTGTAGCTTGTAAAACCCCACTGGAATAACAATGAAGTAGGACATTCATAAAGGCTACTATACGGGTGGGAAGTAACTAAATACATTTACTCAAGTGCTGTAGTTAAGTACAATTTTGAGATACTTGTGCTTTACTTGAGTATTTCCATTGTATGCTACTTTGTACTTCTACTCCACTACAATTCAGAGGTCAATCTTGTACTTTAACTCCACTACATTTATGTTATACCTTTAGTTACTTTGCAGATTTTGATTAATAATGTGAAATATAATCAACACTTAAATAAGACTTTAATTACACCTGGAGTCAAATCACAAGCTAACCTGCAGTATACAAAGTCATTCAAACTAGCTGCACCTTTACCAGCTTTAATAACACTTTAATGCATCAATAATTATAATCAAAACATATCATATATTACTCTGAAATGGACCAATCTGCATAATAAGTACTTTTACTTTGGTACTTTAAGTATATTTTTGATACTAATTGTACTTTTAATAGAGTATCCTTTGAATGCAGGACTTTTATTGTAACAGAGTATTCCTACACTCTGGTAGCCTACTACTTTTACTCACCTCTGACCATATAATATAAAAAGATGTGTTTTCACGTCAGTTTGTCATCATCTGTCAGTGACTGTCCTCCAGCCTACCTGCAGCTCCACAGTCGGCACAGTTTCCATTCCCAGGTTTTTCCAAAAGCTGCTTCACACGCTCCCTGATCTTGTGTTGATCCGAAGCCATGCTGTTCACGATTCTGCCGAGACGCCTGCACAGCGGCTGAAAACCTCAAACTGTCTTGCATCGAAAGTAAAATGTTCGCCCGTGGTAGCGATGGAGGTAGAAGTAACGCGCTTAAATAACTTACAACAAGGCTGTCATTTTTAGGCGGAGGGTGAAAGAATAATGGGGCTGTTCAGTGTTGACGCTATGAAACCAAGCCCAGATAGACGCAACAATAAATGCATTTAGGTTGTATGTTTCTTTCTACGGAGTGAGACCTCCAGCGGTCATTGTTATTGTATGAAACGCTCTCACGATACGCCTCAACAGTGATGGCCTGTTTACCTCCTCCTTCAATCACAGTGAAGTTAGTTTTATGTTGGATATCTGGCAGCGAAAGGTCGGTTAGCTGCTCACATAGAAATAAAAGATAGACTAAATTAAATTCCCCCCCAAAAAAAGCAGTCCTTCTTGCTCACTGTAGTTATACAATGCTGCATTAATTTAGAGTCAGTCAGTCTCAAATGACGAAGAAACTATTAAAAAAAATAAGGCCACAAATAAAGTTTAAATAGACTATTTGTAGAAAATAGTAGAGGCGCTAACATGTAATAACATTAGGTTTTTCTTATTTTTCCAGTGTGGTAATGCACATTGTATGGATTGGGAGTCAGTGGGGCACGACTTGGAAAATATTGAGAAATGTAAGCTTTCATTCAACAAGAAACTGCATACTTTTCATAGATGTATTTGAGTTAGCGTGACATGTGTACCACCCAAGGATGAATAGAGGCCTCACCGGCGCAACAAAACTCATGAGATTGAGAGAAATGCGTGTGCACAGGCCCAAACAGACCTTTGTTAGCAACAACTGAAATGTTTAAAATTCACTGTGTGAATCTTTACCCAACTGAGACACAGAAATCAAATAACAGTACGTTTCAGCAATTTTATTTTTCAAAACATCTAAAATGCAGTACATGGTAAAAAGAAGTCTCACTTTAAAAAGAATATTGGTAGATTGGTAGTGGAGCGCAAACTCAACAGCCGAAACAGCCTTTCAGGGTCAACAAAAAATATGAAAAGAAACTCACATTTTCACAAAAATAATTAAAAAAACGTTTCCACTTCTACATGTAACTAGATGTTTATGTTGGCTACAATGAAGACAGTTTCATTTCTCATGAGTCCATGGGATCTTGGAAAGGAAGAACTCCAGCTGATCTGGTGTCCTAGATTCTAAGAGATCACTTGGTGTCAGGAGGCAGGAAAGCGCCTATCTAGAGGAGTTAGAGCTGGAGCGAGAGCGGTGGCGTCTGCGACCGGGAGACCTGGAGCGAGAGCGGCGCCGTACTGGGGAGCGCCTCCGTGGGGAGCGGGACCTGCAAAGATAACAAGATTAAATGAAAATTCGGACACGGACACCCTCTCCAGAAAGGATCTGGACAGTGTGACTGCATTGGCCGGCAGTAGTAAGATGAGGAACACAAATGAGTAGCAGATCAAAGTTGAGGGTCTAAGGATACAGTATGTCGTTTTCTGTACAGAAACCCCAAAGGGCTTCTTCTTAATGGTGATATAGGGATAATACAACAAATCTATTTGACTTGACTTTGTTAAGCTCTGTTGTTGTCGTTCTGCTGAATGTCTATCATACCAAGTTCACTTGGAGAAGTCCTTGTATGTGTACACATACTTGGCCGATAAAAAGAAACTTGCAGCCATGACCGTAAACAATGGGTCAAATATATGTTGCTACAAAGAAAATACAAATTCTAAAACAAGGATGAATCACATATTCATCATTAACCCGGCAGCAGAAATGATCTATACAATCAGCAAAGTCAATTCAGTTTCCAACTAAATATGAAATATGGCCTGGGTTATGGTACAGTATAATGGCAAGAAAGTCTTTTAACAAGACGACATTTGTGCAAAGTTTGAAGAATTCTCTCAAGGCAGGCCAAACATATCGCGGTCACAACAACGGGACAGACAGAAAATCCCGAAACATTTTGGTCCTGGCCACAGCTGTTGTCAGGATAAAAAAAAAAATCTATGATGGAAGAATTAGCAGACTTAATGGTCTCACCCAAAGAACAGCAACATGTCTTTTTTATATTCAGAAAAGCTCAATTGTTACCGATTGACATGACTACTGAATTTAAATCCTTGAATGTACCTTCTCCTCATGCGTGGTGGACTGCGACGCCACATAGGTGGTGGGGGGGGCATTCTACGAGGGGGAGATGGGCGACGCGGTGGAGGGCGGATTCGTTGGGCCAGAACAGCAGACGCACTGATTTCTTGTCCATCAATCTGACCTATCAGAGCAAGTCATCACAGAAGGTTATTAAACACACATGCAGGGTGTGACGGTGTGAGGCAGAGGCACTAAAGGAAACATGTTGGCCTACCTCCGTCCATGTGTTTCAGGGCCTTCTGGGCCTCATCGGGAGTCTCAAACTCCACATAGGCGTAGCCTTTGGACAGGTTCGGGTGGATCCTGTCTAATGGCATTTCAACCATTTTGATTTTTCCATAAGTAGCAAAGATCTCCTGGATGTGTTCCTGTGCAAAAAAGACAGCATGATTTTCAGAACCATGTAACAGACAACTTTGATTATCTGTGAAGGAATGCTGTTATTATTTTAATTCATAAAATAGACTGCCCAAAACAAGAAAACAAAGAGCTAGTTTAACGGATAATAAACAATTAATTCAATGCTTCATTTTTTACTTTACTGCAGTTCAATTCTGTTTCAGGAGATGATGATTATGTTCTTATCTACCTGCCATGACGTTACTGAAGTAGTGCCATCATCTCAAATCAGGTTATATCATACGTTCTGCCATTTAAACACTTTTTTTTTTTTTTTTTAAATGCTCAGCTTACCTTGGTGACATTTCTGGTCAGCCGGCCTAAGTGAACTTTAGTTGGTTTGGGGCTTGGGCTTCTCTTCCTCCGCTCCTTATCATCTCCCCTTTTCTGTGTTTTTGACCTGCAGAATCACAAACGATACAAAATCATTGATTGATTTTATCACGACTTAAAACAAGTGTGAATACAAGACATCATAGAGTATAATTATTGTGTAGCTGAAATCGAAGAAGTAACTCACGCTGATCGGGAGCGGCGGCGGTTGTCATGGCGCCTACGGCTGGGGCTCGGGGAGCCTGAGGAGCTGGAGGAGGAGGAGCGAGAGCTGGAAGAGCCCGAGCGGCTGGAGCCAGAGGAGCTGGATCCACTGGAGGAACCCGAGCTGGAACCAGAGCTGCTGCTTGAAGTAGAACTAGATCTGGACCTGTTTAGCGTCAAAGAAAAAACAGGTTAGGTACAAAATGTATCACTTAATTTTCAAATTAAACTTAATTATGATATAAATAATACAACCAACCTGCTGCTGCTGCCAGTGGAAGCACTGCGGTGCTTCCTTGCCTTGTCCCGTCCTCTTTCTTTGTCTCCTTCCTTGGTACTAGTCTTTTCTTTGCCTCTGTCTTTAGTTTTTTCCTCTTCCTTCCGCTTTGTAGGTGACGGTGCCCTATAACAAGAGGCAAGCGGCTGTTACTTTGAGATCAGAAACTTTATGGAGCTACAAAAAACAACAATTTGTCTAACATGTAGACGTAAAATGTCCGTAAGTAGTGACATATGCAGATCACGATTCTCTAGAGAAGTTAATTAGAGTTGATGCTGTTTATTGTTTTTATTTTATTTATAATTTGTTTACAACTTTAAAGATTTTTAGACTTTGATGCCTGAACACATTGCTGCTGTAACAATTTCAAAATGTGGGATCGATAAAGTTAATAAAATTGGGAAATGTTATCGTTGCAGCAGCATGTAAAACAAGTATTGCACATACAACAAGTAGAAAATAAACTATTATACAATATAAACATCTCAAAATGGAAGATAAAAAATACTTAAGAGTGAAAATATAAAAGTTGACCGTGAAAAAACAATATGTAAACTATCTGAAAAATAAAACAATATTGAAGGGCTTAATTAAAGCTAAGACAATATACAAATGGGATATTATTAAACATTTAGAGTGCAAGAATGACATATTACATGTAAATGGTAAATGTATGTACAGTGAGAAGTTATAAGTCCAGTTCAAAAGAGAAACTATGGAGCATTGAGTGAGTTGTTATACAGACTTATTATCTATCCAACTAGACCGTCACTAAGCAAATCGGAGCTTAACCCCTGGCCTGTACCGTTACAAGAATTACACAACCACATTATTTGAATTTTAAGATGTTTAGCAGTTTAAAATGTTGTTATATGTGGATTGTGTTTACAACATTATTAGTATTATTAATCATGAATTAATCAATGAAATGTGAGACTAGTAAGCCTTACCGCCGACAACGGAAAACCCGCCGCCATTGAAATTAATACAACTGACTGCTCAAAACAAGGTGGACCTAGCCACTGTTGATTTATCGATGTATAGGCTGTTCGTTAGTGCACAAGCGGTTAAAAATTACGACACAATTCACTTTAAACAATTAAAAATGTAATGGAAATTAAATAAGCGGTGTTGTAATTTAAAAAAAGGCTTAACTTACATATTTTTCAAACGACGTGGTTAGCTTCAACCACTTGCCGCGGCCTGGGAAAGGAGTCGCTCAGTGATGACCAAAAAGCGGAAGTGACGTGATTAGCCGAGCGCCACGTACATTTGTTTATTTATGTTGTCGATAAAACCTTGGTGTGACTACATCGTGGCTATGATAAGATTCAATATGTCATCATAGTACATGAAATTATTTAAACACCAATTCATCTGCCCTCTTGTTTGCAAGGTGAGCGTTTTGTTGTATAGCGGTACTGTGCTAAAATAGCTAGTAGCTAGCTCACCTAACATCTGGTTTGTACAGATGTTAGAGGAAAAAAAACAAATATTGACAAAAGTATATAATATGATAATCTTGCATGAGTATTCAGTATGTTATAAGGTTGCTTGCCTAGCTGGGATACGTTGATTTTACTGTGTTATAACAAGAAACATTGTATTGTTCCAAACGTGGTATTAGGTAAAAAAACATGATACAATTATGTATTTATTGTTATAAAATTAGGGATGGCGTGAGAACAAATGTTATGTAATTGAGGCAGCTACACACTATACTGCATTAAGTAACTGGTATTTTACAGAGTAGAACATATCCAAAGATGCAGCACGTATTGTCACACATTCTTCTCATTTTGTTCATTAATTTATCAGCATAAACCATACAACAAATATTAGGTACAGTATTTTTCTAATATATGATATAAATATTTCAGAGCTTAAGAGCCTTTCTGGAGTGAGAGACCATGGGCCGGTTGGATGATGCCGCGAAACACAAAGTGGTGGAGCTGCGGAAGGCTGGTCTGAGTTTACGCAAGATCAAAGCTGTGTTGGAGCTGGAGAACATCAAGGTTTCTGCTCAGGCAATCTACTTGTTCTTAAGGGAGTTCCAAGGGAGGCCGCCAGGGAGGGTTAAACCTATGGAGACTGGAGGAAGCACATCAATCGCACAGATACAGCATCGAACCGGAGCACTACAAGAGGGCTGGAGTAACATTCGAATTCAAAATCTTCTGCGGGATGCATCTCATCATGCTGGCTTTGCAGCTGCTTCAAATGTTCTCAAACAGACTTCCACAAATCCAGATTTTGGTGCAAAGCCATCTGGCTCTGGGGTGACAAGTGGAGGCAGCAGGCCAGAAATGCAACAGGAGGGAGATAAGGAAGAAAATGACATCCAGATTGTAAGTGTCACCTCCCTTGCACAGAGCTGCCATCAAACAGTTCCTCAGTCCACTGTAGCAAGAGCAGAGACTGCTGTGTCTTCCACACTAACAGCTGCTGCAGCGTTGATGAGGAGGAGAGTAACAGCTTCTCCAGCCACCAATTCAATGCTGGCAGCTCGAAGAAGGCTTTTGGATAAAGCGCTGGCACACAGAGTGAAGGTACCTACTTATAAATAATTTCTCAATATCTGTTAGTCATAACCTGCATGAACAGTTTTCAACAGTCTTTCCCTCAGGTGGCGTCGTTGTTGAGGAGAGATCCCTCCAGTGTCCAAGCTGCCAATATGAGAAGTTCAATACCACAACTGTCCGAAACGTGTGATCTGACCACTGAAAAGGTGAGAAGTTACTTACATTTGTGCAGTGTTAAACCGTACAAGGATTTATAGAAAAAATACAATTCTCAACTTCACTCCAATTTGGACTAGCCAAACAGACTATGGTTTGTGGAAGTGCCCTTATGTTTTATTTTAACTAGATGTTAACTTTTGTAATGTTTTTGTTTGTTTGTCATGTACACAGACTCTTATGGAAGGGCAGTCCGATGGAGGTAGCACCACCAGGCGTTTTCTCACACAAAGACCAGGTCCGTCTGTGCGTTCCCTTCACCCTGTCCCTCGGGTTGGCATTCGTCTTCCTAACCGCCCAACAGCACCTTCAACATCCTTAGCTCCTGGGGTTGCCCTCATTCGTCTACAAACCCCAGGAGGCCAGGGCGGAACTCGTAGTGAGGGGAACCCGAGCCCCCAGCAAGCAGTCCAGGACACTGGAGGGAGAGGTGGTCTTCAGGATCAGATCCAGACCCTGGGCTCAGAGGTGCGCAGCTTGGGTCTGGCAGTGAAGATGCTGGTGGAGCAGCAGTGCCGCCTTGAGAGGGAGCAGGGGCAGCAGACACACATTCAGAAGCAGATCCTCAGCACACTACAGTGCATGGCCACCAATCTGGGACGTTGTAACGTTGTTCAGAAGCAGCACAACAAAACTCCCTCACCCTCTGGTTTGCCAACAGCTTCTGCATCTACCTCCTTCAGCCAAGACACCTTCAACTTCAGTCCAGGCACATACACTCAGTGCAACCAAACCCAGCCAAACTACAACTCTATAGAGAGTTTAGAAAATGTAGAGGCCTTTAAACTGCCTGGACTGAGTCCTTCAAGAATGAATGGCTTTCCACCATGTAGCAATGCTGAGAACCTTCCACTTACCCACACTCCCCCTCATACACAAGCTTATGTAGCTTCATACCCACCCAGTCAAACCCTTATGCCTCCTTACACACAGTCCTATGTCTCTACATACAGCCAGTCACATTCTCAGACTTTCGGTGGAGCAGTAAATAAAACAGCTGATTTCCAAAACAGCTGTTCGGCAAGGACTCTCCAGGACTGCAGTGTGTCCACACAGCCGGTGATGAACTCTGACCTCTCGTTGCAGGATCAGCAGATCAATATTATCAAGGTCGAAGGACCTTAGTAGCTTTCAGATGCCATAATGTTTTGGGACCATAGGGGCTTGGATGTGCTTCTACATATACATACGTAATATACACATGTTTTTTACAATGAACAGAAGCTGTAGCAATTCTAAAATGTATTTATTTTTTACATTTTAAGAGAATACAACAGCAATAGAATGCAGTGCTTTAGTTATAATGTGTTGATAATAATGATGTGTCCTTACAATAGGCAATGATTAATGGAATGATTATGTGCAGGCACTACCTTTGTCACTCCTTTTTTCTATCTATTATTTTTGTATAATCTCGACTAGCATTACTGACTGTTAGTTTTCATACCTATATGATTAATGAAAAAATAAATAAATAAAGTCATGATTAAAATACAAACCACTTTCCCATTTAAATGTGTGAGGCAGTGTCTGAATATATTGTACATACAAATGTGTACAGCAGAAAGCAAGGCAATCGTATTACATATCATTTAGCTGACACTTTTATCCAAAGCGACCTACAAAAGATGCAAGTACATCAGCTTTTAGCTTTTTAGCAAAGTGCACATGCTGGAGTGTACGGTTTAACCATGTCATGGATGAAAGAAGGGTCAGGCTGCTGCATTCTGAATGAGATGGAGGGAGGGAGTTGCAGAACTCTATGCGTACGGTGAGAATAATCTGGACCAGAACCTGCAGTGCCTTCTGGGCCAGTAGGGTGACATGGAGACTGCAATGCTCTAGCTCCCTTCCTCATTGACGACTGACAGCACACAGCTCATGTGGGGAAGGGGTCAGAATGAAGCCCACAACTGGAGTGAGATCCAGTTCATCCTCTGTAACTCCAGGTGGTGGAGTGAAACGAAAGTGCAGGAGGAGGGAGGTGAAGAAGAGGAACAGCTCCATTCTAGCCAGACTCTCTCCAGGACACATCCTGCGACCTTTGAGAACCAAGAGTTTCAGCAAGTTAACTGGATGACATTTCTATGAGTATGTAGTATTATATCTATAAAAGGTTTTTATACCTGCAGAAAATGGCATGGAGGCGTCTCTCCTGATAAATGTACCCTCCTTATCCAGGAAGTGGGAAGGATTGAAAGTGTGTGGGGTTTCCCATTCACTCTCATCCTGCAGGACAGAAGTAAGAAGAGGAAGCACACAAGTCCCCTGTAGGAGAAAGCAGAGAGCAAGGTGGTTTTATTTAAATTGTGGAACCAAAGCACACATTATCTTACTAAAAGCAAACGTATTTAGGCAATTGACCTCTTTGATGAAGTATCCCTGGAAGGTGACGTCTTGGCTAGTTCTGTGAAGAACGGCCATGGGGACAATGTTGGCCAGTCTCTGTGTCTCATGGATGACAGCATCAGTGTACGGCAGGTTCTTCCGGTCTTCAGCTCTGGACTGACGGCTTCCTATCACTCTGCTCAGCTCCTCCTGGACCTTGTCTGGACTCAGATAACATTGAGATTAAGTTGGATCAATATAGAAATACAAATAAATGGTGTTCAAGTCGAAACACTGTAAACTGAATTTCACCAGACGGACATATGGTTTGTTTATGCACCTTGAAACTGAGGGTACTTGGCCATGAAAAGTAAAGACCACTGAAGTGTATTTGCCGTTGTATCAGTCCCAGCAGCAAACAGGTTTATCACACTGTAGGCCAGGTTCTCATCATTGTAGTGTGAATCTTTGTCACCAGCCTCCTAATAAAGACACACAGAAAAGTAAATAGTGGCCTGGCCTTTGTGCTCAATACATTGTAAATTGTGCAACATTTACAAGAGAAGATATTTAATTTAGAGAGGTGAGTATAGCCTAGGAAACCATCAGTCATACTGTATGTAGAGACATGGATAAGTGTAGGAGAGGGTATTGGGATGCAGGGACTTTAATGCACATAGCACGTTATGGGGAGGACATGATACATCGCAACGACCATGGGTGTAAAAAGAGAACTGGATACAGCAATAAAGGATCCCATTGACTCCTATGAAAGTTGCTCATGAAGGTGAAATGGCCTAAATATTGAGTTTAAAAATGACCATGGCTGCTCTCACTTCTCTTATTTTTCATTTCCTCGCTCCTCGGTCTCGTACCGTACCAGTGGCCTTATTTTTGCCGGAGGACCGAGGATCGAGGAGTGATAACGGAGGAGCGATAATCGAGGAACTACCAGACCATCCTCCGGTGAAATCCTCAGACACTCGCCCCGCCCCCTTACTGTGTATCGCTCACTGATTGGACAATGCAGCGCATGCACTGATCTGTTGCTTCTTGACATGAGAGCAGTTTCCCAGCGGAGTGAAGAAAACACACACAGGATCCGAGTCACTGCTCACTTTATACAGTGTTTTGTTTCAATTAATGTATCATTTAGTTACAAATATGTGATATATCTGAACAACAAAGTGGTCAAAAATCATTTTATTCATTTATTGGAAACATTTTCATGATCGCTTTTTTCGTTTACATTTTAAGAATGGCGTTTATCTTTTTTGAGAATGAGTTCTTATTTGATTTTAATTACTTGGGTCTACAACAGATGATCCAAATGTTTGTGTCAGTAAATGTGTACTAACCATGGTACTAACAGAGGCGGGGGTGTTTGTGAAAATAATGGGGACAGTAGAGCCGGGTTGCGTTCCGATAATCCAAAAATTACCTCCTAAATTCTAACCCTATCTCCTATTCCTTGACCTCTGAGTGAAACGTCACGGGGTTAAGGGGTAGTGGATAGGAGAATTCAAAAGGACTTAGGAGAAGAGACTGCGGTGCTTAGAGAATCCGAATGCACTTTCACTATCCGACGTGTTTATGATGCGCCAGCGGACGTCATGAATGTGCGTCTGCTGCTGTGGGGAAACTATGGAAACTACAGTCCCCAACTCCGGCCTGCCAGTAAACCCAAAGCAGAAGAAGAAGAAGTGACATCAGCGGCTTCATTTGCGTAATCTTCCCTCAGGGACTTATTCCGGTGTGAACGCGATCGGCTCTTAGTTCTTGCGGGGTACTAAGTGCTGGGAACTAAATACGGCAAAGTACTTGTTGTGAAAGCGGCTCATGCTTGATGCTTCCCTGGTGGGAGGGACTAGTCACAGGGAAACAACGCAAGTGAGGGACGCAAGGAATCCATTTAACAGAAGTGAGACGCAGCCCATATCTGGGCAAATAGAGAATGTACACTTGTTTAGAAGCTCCGCCTCCAATAAAGGATACACAAATGTCTCTTCACCCATGCGCCTATATCTAATGGCGCATTTCCACTACAGGGCCTCGCTCGGTATGGCTAGGCCTCGTTAAGCCTTGTTAGGACTGGCTCACTTTATGCTGCGTTTCCATTACAGTTTAGTAGCTGGGGCAGTAACTATAGTAACGCAGTGTAGGCGGAGCCGTGACGTCATCTTCAATGAGAACCACAGAAAAACAACATCAGCCATTAGATGTTAGCACTCATATCTGTTCAGAAACTTGACAAAAGTTAAACAAGTACAAACCACAGACTGTCTGTGTCATGGCGAATACAGTCGCTGGTTTATTTATGTCTGTATAGGCCGTTGTTGTGAGTGTGGACGGTCGGAGCATATACTAAGTAAGCTTAGCCGATCTCCATTTAGAAAACACGCATTTTAAAAGGTTTTTTGCCTGCCGTCTATCTGCAAACTTGTCAAAGCATTAATTAATGTTTTTTACTAACCGGTATCAGTATATTGTTACTTCGGCATCATACGTATATTACAATTAAATCACGGTCAAATATGTTCATTTTGTTGTAGTTGTAGCCCCCTTGCCAGCGATTCTTTCTCTAGTTTAGCATACTCAACCCGACTCAACCTGGTTGTTGGCCCGGAAAGAACCTCGATTTTATGGGGCCAGAAAAACTGTGAAATAGTACCCGCTAGCCGGAACTACGCCAAGTGGAAACGCAACCAAAAACGGGCCGGGCACGGCACGCTTAAAGCGAGCTCCGCGCTGTAGTGGAAATGCGCCATAACACCAAATATGTAGTACCACCGTTTGGCCACTATGATAATTTGCTTATAAATCCAGCGGACTTCTTGGCAATGACCATACTGGATTAAGCTGGGTGAAGACTTTATTCATTTACTTGTGCTTCTATTTGGATGTGTTTTCTTAATCTGAAGTGTGTTGCTATCGATGGCCAGTGAAAGAGGGTTTAAATGCAAATGAATTGTTGATCAGTGTTATCAGCCATGGTTTCACTGGAGTTAGACATATTACCTCAAGACTCAGTTTACGGGTCAGGAATGCATCCACAAAGCATCGGCACATGTCAGGGTTCAGAGTCTCCTTCAGGTCAGCTATCATACTCCTTGTTTCCTTCATGCTGTCCTCCACCAGTTTCATCAAATTCCTCCAGTTTTTAATACAAGGTCCCAGCCAAGGAAACGCGTTGTATATCTGTAATACAGCAGAATACCAAACACGTTCATTGTTTTAGGACTTAATGTAAGAATTATGACTGCCATGAGATCTCAAGCCCCAGCTGGTTTCATTAGAATAGTGTTTTTGTTTGATTTTACATTTGGTTGTTAAACCTTAGGTTTTCCTTGTAATCATCAAGTTAGTAAATCTGAAATCAGTCTGTAGTACCAGAATGGATGCTGTTCCCGTAAGACGGGTGACTTCGTGGTTTCTTTCCAACATAGCTTTGATTTCAGGGTCCTTGTATTCAAATCTCTTTCCAAATATGAGAGCGGATATAATATTTGAAGCTGCGTAATTCATCATATGGGCGTTATCAAAGGCTTCACCTAAGAAAAGAAGAAGAATTGTGTAACTTATTCAAGGTTCTGTTGCTGTATAAAACTGTTCATTGTTAGTTAGGATACTGTTACCTTCATGCTTTTGAAATTCTTCAATCAGGTAGCCACATTCTTCAATGATTTTCCCTTCAGTAATCCTTTTGCCCATCCCAAAATCTTTTAGTGTGCTTAGAGCAAAGCGCCTCATTTCTTTCCACACATCACCGTTTGAAAAGATTATTCCTGGAAAGAGGAGTAGTTGACATGTTCAGACAAGGACAAAAACAGTCTAGTAAAACACAACAAACAAAGAAACATTTATTTACCGTGTCCTTGGTTGAAATCATAGGCTAACGGACTGATCTCTCGTTCTCCAAACTCCTCAGCATGGTTGACCAGAGCCTGTTTGACTGTCTTGTATCCTGCCAGGACCACCACCTTCTGCATTCCTAAGTAAAATGTAAACACTGGTCCATGTATTTTGGACAGCTAAAAGAAAGAAGCAAGTAATAGTGAGACTGACTGTTCTCTATAAGAAATGTAATTTACTTAACAATTGTGCATTTTGCATTTTTTAAATACAACTTTCTTGTCTTGTATTAAAGCAAATAAAAGTACCACATAGCTTAAGACAAACAACACATTTCTTACATCAACAAGAGAGCGGTCGAGTCTCTTGAGATCCACTTGAAGCAGATTTCCCAGCAGGGGAAAAGGTCTAGGCCCCGGTGGCTCCCTCCTGCTGTTGGAGCTGAAGCTTGAGTAAATAAAGTGTAGGCCAAGCAGAACCACAATGGCCACAGACAAAAAGACTGAAGTTGAAGACTGGAAAAGATCCATCAACATGATCCTGCTGTCTACAGTACCTGACTTACTTTAGAAACACTTTTTTAAAGTTCAATGAAAGGATACATGTCTCGTCAGAAACAGGGCTCCCTTTCTTTCCATCTGCTGAAAGATTCTGCTCACATATAACCTTATTTCACCCCTCTATGGGTGGTACTGCAGACCAAGAGTCCCCACCTCCTTTTGTAAATGCTGCACCAATCACACCCATCTAATTTCTTCAGGTCAGCCAGCTGTTCACAGATCTAATCAAACTGTAATTTGTCATAATAATAATAATAATAATACATTTTATTTTTATGATACATAATTAAGTTATTCAAATGCAAGATGTGAAAAATACGGGCAGGACTTTTAAAGAAGTGAGAGTGAGAAAAACGAGCAAAATGGTTTTGAGCGACGCAAAGCTGCTGCGATACAGTATACTGTATAACAGGGATGAATAGGTGTATACCATGTATTAATGCTGAGAACCGCACTTACTCCATTTACCCCATACTGTATACAGGTGTTTGCAGCTTCTTACCCACCCAGTCACATTCTCAGACTTTCAGTGAAGCATTAAATAAAACAGTTGATTTCCAAACAGTTGTTCAGCTCTCCAGGACTGCATTGTTTCCATATAGCGAGTGATAAACTCCAACCATTCTTCGCAGGATCAGCAAGTCGATATTTTAAAAGTGGAAGGACCTTAGTAGCCTTCATGTAAACATATGCTGTAGCATTTCCTATTTTGATTAATTTTATTACCAAAAGTACATTTAAAGAGAACAAAAACAGCAATAGAATGCAAGGCTTTAGGACAAATATGTTTATGTGTCATCTTGACCATAGTAGGCAGATTCAAAAAAATATATAAAATCTTCCTTATTTTGTATCACAACAACTAGAATCATGCCCTGTTAGTTTTCATATCTCTTTGCTAACTGATAAAGAGTATTATTAAAAAATCACTTTCCCGTTTACATGTATGATGCAGTGTGTGAGAAGCAAACATATTCTAAGTATACAGCAGGGTTTACTTGTTTTTATGAATACACTTGCATTTCTAAAAGGTGCAATTCATCTAATGACCTGCACTGGAGGATTGGCATGCAAGAGCAGTATTTTAATCTTTAACCAGAACTACCACAATTAAACTGATGGTAACATTTAAAATGTATGTTAGCATATTTGACCAAAACCAAAATACTAATATAAATAACTGAGCATAAGATGAGGGAGGGAATAGTAATGAAGGGGGGAGGGGAGGTTAGTAAAAACATTTTAATTATTTATATGTGTCATTTCTGCTGCATTACCAAATAAAGATGTATTTAAACGGAGCAGCTCACTGGAGCAGTGAGAGACGGCTGGCTACCAAGTGATAAGAAGATTGATTAATTGGAGATGACAGTCATTGGGTCTGCCAACAGGGAAGAAAACATCACAAAAGGATGAAAACATGTATGCTTAATGAGGTCCCTTTTGAGTGGCCTGGTAGTAGTTTAAAGGAAGGAATAGTGTGGAATTTACAGCAGGCACACCTCCTCCTGTTGGTTTGGGGTGACAGACAAAGGCAGTGATACCTGTTGCAATTTAAATACAAGTATAACCATGATTTGTTTCCCCCTATTATTTTTTACTTTTTTGTCACCCTTCAATATAATCGATTAAAATAATTGCTCCGGTTGTATACCATCAGGGTTCCTTAGATTTTTAGCCAAACGGTAAAATGTCAATGCAGCATTCTCACGCAACATCCCCTCCCACATCGTGGCCCACTGAGTGACCACAAGTGACAAGTGACCGGTTCCCATCCTCAGTAGCGACTGACAGCACACAGCTCATGAGGGGAAGGGGTCAGGGTGATGCCCACAACGGGAGCGAGATCCAGTGCATCCACTGTAACTCCAGGTGGAGGAGTGAAACAAAAGGTGAAGAAGAGGAACAGCTCCATTCTGGCCAGACTCTCTCCAGGACACATCCTGCGACCTTTGAGAACCAAGAGTTTCAGCAAGTTAACTGGATGACATTTATATGAGTAACAGTCGGCTCTCTATTATTGTGATCACATGATTCAGATATAATAATATCTACAGACCATTTTATTATGGCATTACACCTGCTGCAACACGTAACCAAATGAGATTCAAAACATAGTCCTGAATCCACGACAACATGATTATTGCGCGTGGATCACTTTATGTGTCATCCAGAAACAGTTTCCGTTGTGTGGTAAAGATTTTACCCTGTTGTGTCTTTTTGCATTTGTTTTCTTAATTTGCAGTGTGATGATCTCTCAGGGCCACAGGCAAATTAATCAATGATCAGTATCATCAACCGGGGTGGTTTCACTGGAGTTAGACATATTACCTCCAGATTTTGTTTACGGGTCAGGAATGCATCCACAAAGCATGTCAGGGTTCAGAGTCTCCTTCAAGTCCGCCATCATGCTCTTTGTTTCCTTCATGCTGTCCTCCACCAGTTTCATCAAATCCCTCCAGTTATTAATACAAGGTCCCAGCCAAGGAAACACGTTGTATATCTGTAATACAGCAGAATACCAAACACATTCATTGTTTTAGGACTTAATGTAACAATTATGACAGCCATGAGATCTCAAGCCCCAGCTGTATTAGAATAATGTTTTTGTTTGATTAAACATTTACATCTTAGCCATTTTAATTAGTAGCTCTTAAGTGTTAGGTTTTTCTTCATCACAAGTTAGTCAATCTGAAATCAGTCTGTACCAGAATGGATGCTGTTCCCGTAAGACGGATGGTTTCATGGTCTCTTTCCAACATAGCTTGGATGTCAGGGTCCTTGTATTCAAATCTCTTTCCAAACATGAGAGAGGATATAATATTGGAAGCTGCGTAATTAATTAATTGGTGTTATCGAAGGTTTTACCTAAGAAAAAAACAGCACGTGAGTAATTTATTCAATGTTGCTGTATAAACCCATGTTGTGTTTAAGTGGAGATAATGTTACCTTCATGTTGTTGAATTCTTCAATCAGGTAGCCACATTCTTCAATTATTTTCCCTTCAGTTATTCTTTTGCCCATCCCAAAATCTTTCAGTGTACTTAGAGCAAAACACCTAATTTCTTTCCACACTTCACCATTGGAAAACAGTATGCCTTGATAGAAGAGCTTTTTACATGTTTAGACAAGGATAAAATCAGGCTAGTAAAACAAAGAAACATTTCTTTACCGTGTCCTTTGTTGAAATCATAGAATATTGGAGTGACTTCTCGTTCTCCAAACTCCTCAGCATGGTTTACCAGAGCCTGTTTGACTGTCTTGTATCCTGCCAGGACCACCACCTTCTGCATTCCTAAGTAGACTGTGAACACTGGTCCATATTTTTTGGACAGCTAAAAAGATGGAGCAAGAAATAGTGAGACTGACTGTCTACAGACTCTCCTCTGTAGGAATTCTAATTGAATTAACAATGTTAAAATACCGTTTTTTTGGTCTCATATTAAAAGCAATGAAAATACCTTATAGCTTAAGACAAACAAAACAGTTCTGATTGATTGATTTAAAAGTTTATTAACAGCTTGTATATTGGGTACAGTACAGTACAGCTCAAAACATACAATTGTTAAGGGGATGCAGACCAGAGAAAGACTTTCGTCTTGTTTACATCAGGGTCCCCCATTTCCAATTCATCATGTCATTTAAGACATATAAGACATACAGATGGCTTATTTACAATTTACATACAGGTGGTTTTTTACATACAGATTGCTTATTTACAATTTTCATTTTAGATTTCGTTCTAATACATCCTACACACATCAACAAGAGAGCGGTCGAGTCTCTTGAGATCCACCTGAAGCAAGTTTCCAAGCAGGGGAAATGGTCTAAGCCCCGGTGGCTCCCTCTTCCTGCTTTTGGAGCTGAAGCTTGGGTAAACAAGATGGAGGACAAGCAGACCCACAATGACTGGAAAAGATCCTCCAACATGATCCTGTCACCTGAACTTGACTTCCTTCAGAAAATATTGTCGTCCAACAGCTGTTTTCAGTGTTCAAGGAAGAAATAAATGCTTGATTGTCCCAATCAAACAAGTATGAGAGCACTCTCATAATAACGTAACACAATCAGAGACTGGTCGCTGACATCTATACACACTGTACCACACACACACCTACACACTGTACCACACACACCTACAGCTCCTAAATCATAATCAGGCTACAGCCGTTGTGTATTTTATTATGTGAAGCACTAAATGGTCTTAGACAAATATCGACAATTTGTTTGTAGATATCTACTAAACTACAGCATACAAATACAGAGAGTAATGTAGGCCTGTTATACTGAGTGATATATATTGTACACACTGCTCTGCTTTCTGCACAGACCTCACAGCTGTTCTCACTGTAAACATCGCGTCGTGATGAAAGCAGTTAAATAATATAATCCAGGGGATGCATGCAGAGCTGTCATTGGCTGAGATAAATCCGGCCGTGCGTCACGCCTCCACCGTTCCCGGAAATGCATCCGCGGAGGAGCCGTGGAGGCCGTTTCTCAATCTCGAGGATACTGGCTTCCAAGCCAATATTTCAAGGATACTACGTCATCGAGTGCCGCCGAAGGACTGTTTCAATCTCCAGCATACTTGGAATTCCACCGAGGCCGCGTCCTTGGTTTGGGGGAAATTTCAAGCCCCCAGGAAGTGCGCCGGAGTCTGATGAGAATATTCGTGCTGGTCAAACGGCGGTACTACACTTCCTTTAGGTTGCTGGGCCCGGAAACACTTTTCCCCATTGATTTACATGGGGAAAGAGTGGTCTGTAACTCGTTGGATACTTTTTTTTAAACTAAATAAACTACCCAGTATGAACGTTTGTATAGCCCTTATTAAAAACATTCGTTCCTCAAGTTGTAAAAATGTGCTAATAACGTTATTCTGAGAGTTATTTCCCTCTGCATTATGAACGCGCATCTAACCCACGGGACCGCGCCGCCCGGCACGTTCATGTTACGTGTTCAGCACTACATGAGTTTCTCTTTACCCATGGATGCACAATAACAACGGACCATATCGCCTTACTGCCAGCCCACGGAGCTGTAATAATGGATATATTGCACATGTTTGCTGTAATTCATCATTTGTAAAATATTATACTA